GACATTACTTTCATGAAATTTAAATAATATTTTGTATTTATAATATTCAAAATCTCATAATTTTTTGACAGGATTTCTTATTGTATACCCTGGTACAATATGTGTTTATTTAAATTAAAAATGATGAAAAAATTGTGGGTTACCCCCACAAAAGTTTAAAAAAATGTGGTGACATGGTCAGATAATTATGGTCATAAATAGGTCATTTAAGATCAATATTGTATGACACCTTAATAATACATCTTCTCAGATTGTTATTAAATAATCAGAACAGTGGCAAGATTCTACTAGTGAAATACGGTACCTTATATACAGTATGTATATAAGTATATACAGACTATGCTATATATAAATTAAAATACTTTGTTGTACAGTAGCATATAAATACAATACTAGTTAAAAGATAGAATAATAATAATGTTGTAATATATAAATATGTATCTCGACCACAGGTCTCTGTGGTTGAGTTGGTAAGACCTTCGCACGTTAAGAAAAAGGTGCTGAATTCGAGTCCTGGTGGAGGCAAGGTTTCCTTTTCATTCGGATCAGATTTTCCTCTTCTGTTGCATTTAAATTGTACATTATTATTAACAAAATGGGTTTATCCCATTGGTCTATTAAATTAAATAAGTATATAAATTAAAATTATTTTCTGTTATTTGTTTTTATATTATATATGCGCCTAAATATAAAATCATGTAGACGTTCAGCCCTCATAGTCAGCTAATGGAAAATTAATTTAAATATTGTTAATCCGTCATAAAAAATATATATTATAATGTCAACTTAATATATATATGTATGTATATATATATAAACATTGTCAATAGGTAAATGATAAAAGCAATGCTTATTGTTATTTGTTTATATATATGTTGTTGTTTATATATATCTGGGTATGGTTCTAATATAAAATATGACAATTATGTAATTTTTAAGATACCATACAATATTTGACCTTGAATGACCTTAAATGACCTATTTGTGGCAATCTGACCAGGTCAAAAATGGTATGATTGTATTCCTTGATCATATAAAAATAGTTTCAGACGTTAGAATTATAATTCCAAGTGGTTTAGAAGAGGAGATATAGATAAACATAGTTTTTATTAGGCGGCCATTTTGAAATCCATTTTTCTATCTGTATTATCACCTCATGAATATTAATTTTAATAATTAACACAAACAATTACAATAAAAAATTGGTTTATAAATTGAACTAAAAGGGAAACTATACATGCGAAAAACACGTATTTTTCAAATTTTAAGGAAGCTTGGGTAATTTTGGGCAATTTTTGCTGAATCTTCGGTAATTTCGACCCAGACATTGGGTATATCAAAAATTGTGAGTGGTCACACTGGTAAAGACATATATCCCAACTTAACATTGAAAACAACTCGCACGTACTCTAAACTGTTCCTAGAAAGATTAATTCTAAATTGGCCCCTCTCTAGAGATATTATAAGTGGAAATTTCTTCTTTTTCAATCAAGGTAATCTGAATACGAAACTGCATGTTAAGTTTGACTGCATCTACGAAGGTACAATTTGGAACTTGGTCAAGAACGTTGGATGGATATTGTTGATGATTAAACAAAGTGCGACATTTAAGGTAAGTGATGTACACATATATAAGCTATTGACACCGAATATTTTCAAGAAATAATATGCTGTACATCAGTGATGTTGAAGGAGAACCGACATATGACGTCATTATTCAGCTATTATTTTGCCTTCTTTCAGCTTAAATACAATCTAATAGCAAGTATAATGGTTACGGTGTATCAGACTACGGGTTTTTTAGGTGGATAATTGGGTTAATATATCCCTGAATATCTTGGGAGTCAAAAGATGTAACACGCAACTTATCAGACACTGTCTGAAAGTAGAAAAGGATATGTGTTTGTGGGAGTGTGTAGGGGTGGAGGGTTTGTGGTTCGAGGAATTGAATATATTCAATTTGATAGCTAAACCATGTAGAACTAAGTTGCATTATCCAATTAACTCTCAGCTCATTTTTAAATTATTTGTAAAATAATTTTGTATATATATATATATTATACATATATAATATATATATATTATACACAAAACACAATAAATATTTTATTTTGAGACAGATACAGGATGTTCCCCTCCACACTATTCACCAGCCATCTATGGTTAAAACCCCGCTTTTCGAAATAAATTGAAACATGACTGTCATGAATTTGTATGTTCACTTTTGTTCTGTTCCCTGTGAGGACCATAAACCGGGTGCAAATGTCATGTTTTCCCCTTTTTTGTAAATTTTTGAGTCGTATCTCAATAACCACTTTTCGTCTACTAACTTTCGTTGGAATTCATTTGATCTCTTTAAATGAGTAATTCAGGTTTTAATAACATTTGGTGAGTCGATTGACCGAGCGGCAACTGGGAAATCGTGACATACATCCATAATATCGAGGCTGGTTCAAACGGCACGCTCTCGGATAAGGACTCTAAACCGTAGGCCCAGTGTACACAATTGGCTCGTGTGCACATTAAAGAACCCAGTACATCCTTCGAGAAGAGTAGGGGTTTCCCCGCTGTGCTGGTCCATTTCAGCTCCCTGTCCGGTCACAGAAGGAGCCCTTACGTCGCGGCCCATGTTAGGTATCCTACCTGCGAATCCTTCTACCACACTACGTAAGCAAGATCATACACACTAGCTACGTATTAACTCGAGAAGAAAGAGAATAACATTTATAGAATGATATATTATCTAAGACCACCTTTAAACATGGTGTGAAACACTAAATCAATAATAGCACAACCGTTTGTGATTTTCAAAGTATTTTATTCAGACGAAAGCCCGCTTCACCAATGAGACAACTACTAAGAATGATCCAAGAAATTAAACTTCCATGACTTTCATTAAATTTTCAAAGGCTCAGGAAAATAACAGTAGATTAATTTCCAGTTAGGCCTATGGATTTAATGATTGGATAAACTATATGTGATCCATAGAACATGGATCAAATGCGATCGATAATGTTATCTGTGAACAATTTTGTTCCTATCTTATCTTTATCTCTATTGTCTTGCGAATGTGAATGATTGTTTAAAAAATTATATAATTAATAGATATCTAGATCGAAGTCACTTAGTAAAAGGTAATGTTTGCGTCGAATAAGCCGGGTCACAATCAGGTCAATTCTGCGAAGAAAAAAGACCAATAAATATCAATTTGTATATTATTTTTTTTTTTCTTTTATTATTATTATTATTATTATTATTATTATTATTATTATATTATCAATAAATCCGAAATAACGGTACAATAACAACATTTAAATAGAATTGAAAATAAATCAAACCCACATTCCTATAAAAAATAATAATAGTTATAGACAAACCTTAAATTAAACAATTCGACACCAAAAACGACGTACAGTACTTAACAACTGTCTTGAGGTTCTCCGACATCACAATATTCCCAACGCACTTCTTGGTCCATGGTATGGCACCATGGGCCAGTCCTACCGCTGTAGTTATTCCTATCCTCTCCCCTACGTACTGCCATGTATGGTAAAGTCCGACAGTGATTGTGTTGTCCGAAATGGTTAGGGTGCATCGGTTCAGCGCCGTAGCCTCTGTACTTTTTTATTGGACGATGTGGTGTGTTTTCGGCCCATGATTGGCATTCTAGTCCGCTTACAGTAACGCTCACGTCTCCAAAATAATCACTTCCATCTTCTTGAGTATAACACTCATTATCGGCAGGCGGATCAGGTGGAAGAGTACTCACTGAAGTGTATCAAAATAACAATATATTTCTTATTTATAGGTACATGATTGAAGAATGCATCCTATAACCGTTGCTGATTAATTCACACGTGTAAATAAAACATTGACATTTCCCATATGATTTCCTTGCATAATTATAGGCCCATAGACACTATGTAAATGTAACAGTCGGTATCTGTGTGGCACAATGGACCTTTCCGTGATGCCTTTCAAACTTTTAAGTTTGGTTGACCAGTTGTAAAAAACAACTAACCAATAAGAACAGGGCCAGGATTACGCTTGTCCCCTTACCCCACCTAAGCGCATGTCTTAGCGCTTTTCTTTTCTGGAACCTTATTAAAAACAATATCCAAGGGCGGGATTTAGTGGAATGGCCGATGAACTTGATTTAACTAGTTTTATTTTTCAGTAAACGCGATCAATTGCACTTAAACTGTAAACTAATGAATTTGCAAAGCTTGAATTTGTAATTTTGTGCATGGCAGTGCCTACTAGGCCTAGTATAAAACAGATATTTTTTGAAAATATTTCCTGCAAGGTCCACAGTCAAGAGACTCACCTGGATCCTCAACGTTTCGTGGATTATGAGGTTCGTTAATTGTTTCGCCGATAGCATCGTCCTCAGGATCACCTGTTTCCGCCGCCCCATGGCCTTCTCCTGCATCTGGATTAACACTGACTGGCAAACAGTCACCAGATCCTAGAGATGCTGTTGGCATAAATGAAGGACAATATAACACTAATGTGAATAGAATACCTGAAAGTTCAAATGTGGCATGTAAGAGTTGATTCAAGTTGGAGGCACCCGAGCCTACCCCCTCTCACAGCCCGATTCTTCCAAATTTAAAAAATAAAAATAAAAAAGGGGGAAAAAAAGGAAGTATCAAATTTAAAATCAGTGACATTTCCGATAATATATATAGTTGCCATAACCATACAATAGGCTTTCGATTGTACACGTAGAACGTAATGACGTCACATAAAGTCATCTGTGCATGCGAGAAGGCATAGGCTGTTTTCCACTAGGCGAATTTATTGGCGAAAATCGAAAGCGTCGGTTCATGCTCATGCGCATTCACATTTTTATCGGAGTTTCCGCAGCGAAATCAGTAGGCCTAGTTCGAACTGCTTATACTTTTTGCGAAGCGAAAATTCGCAACCAGTCAGAGCTTCGGAAGCGAACCACACTTTCCTCGCGCGAATAAATTCGCCTAGTGGAAGACAGCCTTTAATTTCTCGTTATCGCGTGGATTCTAGGACGTAATACTTTGTGCAGAGACGCGGTATGACGATCCAGCGTCAAATCGTCGCAAAAATCGAAAGCTCCCTACTTACGTGCTCTAGACACATCATTGTAAAAGTCACTCTATAGGAAGGACCCTCTATTTAAAATGTCTGGATATTTTACTGCATGCTTCCATCCCACGAAGCCGCCTTCACTTCACGAGTAATATGTTTGCATGGGAGAAGTCCCCTTTCATTGGATGGGGAGGGAGAAGGCAGCTGCCTAGAGCTCCCGGCATGGAGCGAATCCATGTGAAGAAGCACGCGCATTCTGGTTAGGCATTTCATGTTACTGTTAAAACTGATAAAGGTAGGTAAAGGTTAATGTAGGACTAACTATAGCATATAGACGTTTACTAGTTTCATGTTCACAACATTCAATGAGAGGAAATATAATGCAGTGGTAGCATCCTACCGTAATAAAACCTCGACAATTAGCCCAATGGGCTTAATCTCAAGAAAAAGCTCATCTTGATAAGACCCCTTCCCCACCCCCACTTTTATACAGTATTTTCAAAAGTAATCTCGAACGTAAGTCCATTCCGTGTGTGTGTATGTGTGTTGGGGGTGGGATACTGTCATTTGCCTCCAATGGGAGCTAGCTCTGTTCAACTACGCATGCGCTAGGGTGTGAGAATAAGCTGTTTAATCGGATTTGAATTCTCAGAGAAGTTTCAATGGCCCAGTTGGTTAAGGCGTCCCGCTCCCGCAGAGGGACGGGGTCCCGGGTTTGAATCCTGGTTGGGGCAACACTTTCTTTAGGCTCCCAGATTCCTCTTCAAAAATGTATATACAGTATTAAGTATCTCTACATGGTGTCCTGATTTACATATATAATTAAAACTATATTTATACTGGGTAACCTGCTCAGTAGATAAACTTACCAAGTGATTGCCGGAGTACTGTCACTAAAATTGAAAAGTTTTAATACGATTAGATTTAGGCATATATGTTGTAATTATCATTATATTGTACTTCCTAATAATAATAATAATAATAATAATAATAATAATAATAATAATATTAATAATAATAATATAAAAAAAATATATTGGCCTAGTAACGATGATATTATATAGTAATAATAATAATAATATTAATAATAATAATAATAATAATAATAATAATAATAATAATAATAATAATAATAATAATAATAATAATAATATTGCAATAACCTAATATTGCAATAACCCATAAGTCATTCGTTACATCATCATCGTACGTCAGCGTTATTTTTTTTCTTTTTATCGCAAACGGTGTATTAATTTTTTATTAGTTCACTGTTTGCTTGACCTTTTTGTGGTCCGTACTGCAGCAACAATACAGTTTATTTTAAAGCACATCGAGCACTTTTGGTTTTCCATGAAAGCCAAAAATGAATGGGATATTGCGACAAATTCCCATTGACAAATGAGCTTGACACACACATATACCACACGTTATCAATTTAGAAATTAGTGTTATAAATCAATGTCTACTTACTTAGGTCATCACAAGAGGCTCCTGCAATATGCACAAAAAAAAATAATAATTATCAATTAGACCTAAATGAATACACACTGTTGTATGCCAAAATATAGTCGTAATGTTCTTATGGTCAAATGTGATGTCATCATGACCATATTTAGGCATATCACATGTTTTGACAGGGCTTAAGATAAATCAGCCCTAAAAAATCTAGAATTAGATCGTATAAGGAATACAGTAAGTGAAAACGGAAGCATTGATATAAAACAATAAAAATAAGAAAAACTGTGAATTAGGGACCTTAATTATTCGTCAGTGACACCACGAAAAGACACCAAAGCTAAAAATCGCCATTTTCACCTTTTTCGATATTGTGTTTAATGTACACTCGCAAAAAGACAGCATTCGGGGGCCTTTCGAGAGGCATGCTACTAAAAGGATCTTTCTATGATAATATGCCTATTTCTTCCAGATTTTGTGCCGGTCAGGTCAAGCACCCACTTCCCAGAACGCAACTCCTTAAGGCCAACTCAGACAGCGTCGGCCGACGCAGCCGACGCTGTCTGAGTTGGCCTTTAGGAATTTTTTTTTCTTATAAATTTAAAAAAAAAATTGCCATAATTACATGCTAAAACCTACGAACAGTGGAAAATAGCTTGACCATGGTGAGTGGGCACCGCGGCTTGGGACAACGCTAATTTCGAGTGCTGAAAGTTGAACTCAACGTACATTTTTACCAAAAGCGATAAATTTACGTGACCGATAATGCAAGTTTATTAAAGTATGACTGGGCATGCGTTATTTATCTCACGTAAATAATATCGTTTACTGATTTGTTTACGGCCACGTAAATAAGCCGATATCCACTTCCTTAATTTAATAACACAACCTCGGTTGAGCCTACATTAAGATCGTATGGCAGCTATGTTCGAACGAAAGTAACAGTAGGCTAAAGCTACAGTATACACCACTGTTCCACAACCTATGGGTCGTGACCCAATGTTTGGGTCGCGAAGAAAGTTTGATGGGTCGCACAATCGCTTCAGATAAAAAAAAAATTGATGGTAACAGACGAAAGTGCCGACGAAAGAATGTCAACAACTGAACACGTCCCAAAAAACTTCTCAAACTCGGGGGTCATCTAAATATGCGGATCGTAGTATGTGCGATAATTATGGCTCATATCTCAAGTCCAAATATCGGAACAGACTGCATTAATGTTCTGTCGATATCGAAAAGTAAAATATCGCACAAACGGGCCTAGGTAGGCCTACTGTATTAAATTTGATGATGATTTTAGGTGTGATACACGTCATTGTACAATGTACACTTATTTTCAGATTTTAATCCCCAAAAGGGTTATTCTGTTTCTAAAGATGGTACAGAATAACTTTCTTTGGTGTCAACAAGAGTTCTTGAAGATAACACTACGTAAGAATCGTTTTATGTTCCGATAAATACTGCTATTCCTATTCAAATAAAGATTTAATACTTGTCAGTCATTTAATTATCTGTGTAAAGGTGTTTTAAAAAAAATAATACATAAATAAAATTACTGAAAAGAATCAAGTGCGTTATTTCCAGCGTGAAAACTGATATCTCTTGCACGTGGTAAAAATGTTAATGGACGTCCTCGAACGTCCATACGTTTTACTCTTAAATGACTTCTCTTTAAATTAAAAGACAAAATTATTAAATACGGTAATATAAGGAAACAATGCACTAAACGTAACGACTAAAAGCAGGCAAACCTGACCAAAATAATAACATCATATTTGTTATTTTGGCCGAGATTTTTCAAGATAATTTGACCCGATTTCGATGGGTCGCGGCTGAGTGTTAAATATTTGGATTTGGGCGGGTCGCGGAAGGTTGCAGAACGGTGACACAATATCTAGGCCTACGTTTTAACTGTTTACTAAACAAAAGGGGAAAAATGATATTTTTTTTTTCTTAAATTTTTTTCCAATACCATAGAAGACACGAGGGTGAGGGTTATAAACTAATCATTTTTTTAATTGGACCTTAGTTTTACAGGTGTGAATTCAGCTAAGTAAAACTCGTCGGCTAGCTAGTAGTATTAGTAGCCTAGATCCGGAGGTGACGGAACTACGGGTGCTGCTTCATGGAGTAATGTGTGACCAGAAATGGTCCAGTCAGTTGGATGTTACATGCGCCAGTGATGTTGGAGTACAGCAACATGAAACTATTTATGTAATGCATGAATAAAGTTCGGGGTTTGCATGACGTATAAATGTTAACTATATTGTGAGTGTGACGTCACCAAAAAAAATAAAATTTTTCTATTATAACAAAAATATTAATAACTACAAGGTTTGTGGCGTAAATTCCATAATACGAATTAAGGGGTAGCACCATCTCCTTGCCATACAAATTACAGTTCCCACTGACGTTTCAGTCGAGAAATACGGGTAGCTGAATTTTCTCGCAAATCTGACTACAAAACCATCCAAATTTCACGTTCCACTTCAGACATTGAGTTGTGCTTTGCACACGCCGCTAAGGGCGGCGTTCCGGGAACCCTGCGTCCAGACGTTTGGACTATGCCAATTAATGAAGTAGAGGCCTAGGCTTTTCTACAGTTACATCATGGAGGTACCCCATGGTTACACACACCAGACTATAATTCATCAGGCTAACTACTGCTGCTACTGCTACTGCTATTATATAGAACGCTATAAAAAATGCAGTGATAATCATTACAAGGCTGTCCAGCTGTTGTCTTCATTTTGTATCATACAATACTAGTGTATTAACAATTTGTTTAATTTTCTTTTTTACAGCTAGGTAAAGGAAAAGGAAGCCGTGCACCATTACCGCCTATCAGAAATGATGGAAATATCGATGTCATGCTATCTGCAGTTTTTAAATGTTCTTTTTTTATTGCTTTTAATATTGTGTGTTTCCGTCCAATTTTATTAACTTTTAAACCACATTTCAAAGAGACAACAAACAACATCTTAACATTTTTAGCACTTTTAAAGTATCTTAGCATTCTGTTTTTAATTGGTCCAGCAAATCTTGATTTTTAAATGATCTTTTCTGTTTAATGTTTGTAATTGTTTTGTATCGCATGCACCTCAGAGCTGTAATGAGGTGCCACTTTTAAAAAAGTGCAGCTTAATAAATTATTATATGATTATTCTAGCTTATTTTTGTTTGTTTTTTTGTTTGCTTGCTTGCTTGCTTATTTATTTATTTATTCATTCATTCATTCATTCATTCATTTCATTTATTTATTATGATTTATTTATTTATTTAAATTATCTTGGCAACAAGAACACTTCAAAATACATATGTGAAAACATTGCCAATAAAGGGAACAGCTAACAGGTGAATACACCTCTGAAAGAGCCAATCCCCTTACTGCACATAGCAGGTAAACTGAATGAAAAAAACTCTAAATCAATATAATAAATAGCAAAAAAAACAACATGTAGGCCTATTAGTCGCCGTTTGCTTATATTTAAAAAAAAAAGCAAATAACAGATTAGCAGATTGCACTTCTAAGTAATCACAGTTAACCACGTAGTATCATCTTGCACAGGCCTACATTACAGCATTTCATAGTGAATGATTTCACTTTTAATTGTCTTGCAATCGACCTAAACTTTGGTGAATGCCTGTGAGGTTTGGGCGATTAGCCCTCTAGGTTAAAATGTGGACCTACCGTATTTCATGTAGATAAACTGAATAGTGGACCATTTTACAAAAAAATTAGGACCCATTTTAATGCGTAAATCTAACTAATATGGACCCACATTTTAAAAAGTGGACACATTTAAACAATTTTACCTATTTCCTGCATAAAATCTTTTTAAATGTGGACCCATTTCATGCGTAGGCCTACAAACTTAACAATGTGGACCATTTTAGAACCCGGACCTATTATACAATGTGGGACCACGTTTTAAAAAAGTGGACCCATTTAAAAAGATTTACCTGCTTTTATGTATAACTGAAGAAAAATTAAGCGGGACAGTCCCGACTGTTCCAATGGCTACTACGACATTGCGTAGACCAACTTGTTATAGCGCCGTGGCCTGTCTCTTTTATTTCGTTCACATCCAAAAGCAGAAAGTACACTCGCCACTTAATACAGGATAGAATGATGCTTTATAAACCAAAGTCTTTTATATGAGGCTTAGCGAGGTGGAGCTGTTTTTAGTCGTAAGGAAAAAACCCTGCAGTTACAGCGTTCGGACCCAGGATCCATAACTTCCAAGTTCAGTGGAGTACTAGGGTGCGCACCTATCCCCCACCCCACCTACCCTCTCCCCCAAGATGAAACTCCAGTCGACTTTCCCCATCGAAGCAAGACACTACGCTCAATTTTTCGAGCTAGCTCCCCTCCAGTTAATCAAGGAACCTCACTTCACCTTCGCCTCCACCCCATCAGCTTCCATCCATCCCATCATCCCCTCACCATTCAACCCCCCCCCCCCCCCCCCCCCCACTTCGTTTCAAGACCAAGCTACAAGTTCACTCGAAAAAAAGTTATAGAGACACGTTAACTCGATCGAACGTGTTTGGCCTCCTAAATGGTGCATAGCATCGGTGGATGATTAAAAGTAAATACAAATACAGTAATTCCAATTTTAGTCCTAAAATTTAAGAACAACCATTATAACAATTAATTTTAGTAGGCCTATATAGGCCTAGGTCTAAACGGTTAATGGGTTCAATGTGATGAAGAATATTTTCATTCGTTGAAAATGTACTGTTCTAACGATGCGGAGTCAAGTTGAATGGAACAGTCCATCACTCAACGGATGAAAATATTTGTTTCCATTGTAATAAAAATAGTCATTCATTATTTGTTATATATTGTACACATATTTATGTAACCTAAGACAGAGAGTGTCAAGTTAAATGAAACTATATTGTTTTTTTTTTAGTGCGGTGGTTCAATTCAAAACCAGGATTTGACACTCCGGCAGAAAAAGTGCATGCCAGTTAATGAAACAAAATAAAATGAAACAAAAATATATCGATATAAAAATAAGTTGTTATCATATTTCTTGGTTCGGCTGTACGGTTCGTGGTCGACAGGGGGCTTCGTATGTTTGACGGGTGCGTATCCTCCCCTGCGCCTGCGCCGCTGGTTATCCTACCTAGCGTATATTTAAATATAATAAATAGGCCTAAGTAAGCACTAGGCCTATATATATATATACAGAATCAAGATAATAGACAGGTTACGATCAAGACATTTCTTTGTATAAACTCATTGTAAATTCGGGGTATATTCAGAATTAACACTCTTACCGCTGTTTTGCCTGTGTATAGGTATATTATTAATACTGTAGTGTTCGAGCCTTAGCCTATAAACATATTTTATTTCCGTACTTGACTACTGTACATTCTAACTTCCATAAAATCTTGTTGGGGCAGACCTAATGAAAGATTTTGACTGTTGGTGGACCTATAGGCCTAATGAAAACAATCATTTTCATAATTGGAAAAGGTTTAATGCGCCAGATCGACGTGGACGACAAATTGAGCTTGGAGTATTAACTACCGGTTTCGGCGCTAGCGCGGGTCCAGCGGAACAGGACCGTTTGTCAGGGAAGAAGCCAATATTTCGTCGGAGTACCGGTACAATCCGAAGGTGTTATTTCCATGTATTAGAAATGCCTATTCTTCAAATATGCCCGAAACACAGTGAAGGTGAATTCGGATTTCTGTCGAGGAAGTCTAAACCTTTTCAGTGGCGGACCCAGGAACTCGAAATATGGGGGTGGGGAGGGGGGCAGGGAGGGACTTTCACAGACGTATAATCTATACCACCTCAGTCCCCACCCTGGTTGGAGCTGAGGTAAGAAACTTTGTGGCGGCAACGGAGATGGTACTCTCACACTTAAATTTGAATATAATTTTCTTTTCTCCATTTGTGTTTTATAATTTTGAAAAATTTACAGGGTGTAACTTTTCAACATCCTGAATCCACAAATGCTTTTGTCATGCATCTTTTTTTGGTCCCTGTCGGAGGCATTTTACTGGTTGTGAGATACCAAATGACTAAAAGGGAAGTATTGTATTAAACTTACTAAAATCAGCTGTTTGTAAGTATCCCATCACCTCCTCAGCAGTGCAAGCGGTTATTGGGTTGGGATCAGTCAGGCATTCTTGACCATGGCTAAAAGCTAAATCAGGTAAATTACAACAAATAATACTGTGAGACTCTGCTTACATTAAACTCATAACGACCAAAGTCTTATCTTAATTAATTTATATTTTTATATATATTATATTTAATACATAAATACATTTAGGGAGTTTGCTTTTAATGTAAAGCGCATAGAGGTTTCCAGCATTCTGCGCTATATAAGAATAAATATATTATTAATAATAATAATAATAATAATAATAATAATAATAATAATTATTATTATTATTATTATTATTTATTACCTTTTATTTTATTATTAGTATCATGCTTATTATTACCAATACTGTGCTAATATTAGTAGTTTCAGAGGTGGTGGTAGTAGTAGTAGTAGTAGTAGTAACAACGAGTATTATCTTAATTAATTTGTATTTTTATATATTTCATATTTTTATTAACAATACATTTACTGACAGTTTTTTAGAATTATTGTTACAGTATTATCATTATTATTATTATTGTGAAAATTATCATTATTATTATTATTATTATTACTATTATTAGGCCTATTATTATTATTATATTAGTATTATTATATAAGTAGTGGGAGTAATAGTGGTGGTGTCAGTTGTATTAGTATTTTAGGTGGTGTTTGTTGTAGTAGTAATTCTCATTATTATCTTCTTATTTTTATTTCATAAGTAAAGATGTTTAATACATACATATATATTTATATATATAATTATATATATATATATTTGTATATTTTTATTGCTTTATTTCCTAATGCAATAATTTAATTAGAATGATTTCAATGTTTTTCAATTCTTTTGTTTTTGCTATTGTAAATTTCAAAAGATTTTTAAGTTTGACTGCAATGTTTCTCAGTGAGCTAAATGAATAAAATACCAGTTCAGAACGCTTACCCACAATCCCCAGGAGCAATACCAAATGCAACATCTTCACAGAAGGCTGAAATATAAACATACAAACATTGTTAGTCATTAGAACTGATTTGGCTACAGTAATACAGTAAGTACTAGGCTTACTACGCGAGTACTCACTGCGCCGACGATCGTCGGCCGACGAAATTCAATGGAAAAAGACCAACTCAGACAGCGTCGTACGACGCAGCTCGACGCGATTTGTTCGCGTTTGTGTGAGTTCGGGTCTGTGTCGTGCGAGTTCAACGCAGACGCGATGGTTTGCGTCAGGGGCATTCGCGTCGTAGAATATTAAACATGATTAATATTTCTCACGATGGCTTAAGACTGTCCCCGACGATGAATCGAGTCGGGCTGCGTCGTACGACGCTGTCTGAGTTGGCCTTAACGCAACGCCACGATGCGCGTGCAATTGGCCTTTATGACGACCCGTTACTGCCACCGGCAATTAGCAGACGGCCTAGCGTCGTCTACGCTCATAGAAAACGTACGGCGGTCATACGACCGCCGTACGACGCTTAATACGGAGCTTTCGATTTGCGCGATGACGTGACACAAAAACGGATTCACTCATGCGTGACCGTCCTACGTTTTTGGCACAACGTAGATTCGATCAAATTGCGCCCTAGATTCCACGCGACAACAAACGAGAACTTAACGTTCTCGCATGCGCAGATGACTTTATGTGACGTCAGTAAGGTCTACGATCTTACCGTCCTCGTGCAATCGAAAGCTCCCTAAGAGGAATGCGTTCAACATGACTAATAGAATTCTCAGTTCAGTAAAACCGTGGTGGGCGAACTTTTGCCATAGCTTCAAAATCCATTCTAGTATTAGAAAAATTAAATTAAAAAAAAAAAAATCTTCTTTCATCCGTTGGATTCTCCACTGATGAGGTGAAGAATCTCCATAAGCTAGCGCATGCGATTCGGTTACATTAATGCAACGTGGCTAAAATCTAAATAAAAAAAGTGTATTAGTAACGAGGAAATTTACGTACCTTCTCAACCAAAGCTAGAAGAGAAATGAAGGCCAGAGGCAGAGTGTAGATGTATGATTGCTCATCGATGAATGTAACTATTGATCTAGCATGTAATCAATAAGTATTATCGAAACTTGTTTCAAAATACAATCAATTGGTGAAGTTCTCACGGTGTCTATACTTCTAGAATCACGTCACAGTGTGGGAATTGTGTGACAAAGGATAATTTTTTTTTAACTACCAATCGATTGAGAATACGGTATATCCTAACATTAAGGGCAACCCATATAATACATGGAACACATATAAGAAGACAGTCTCTTTTTTTTTATTCGGAAGATGTCTCATTAGCAGGGGCTCTATTGTACTTAAAGTTACTCTCGTTGAGAAATAAAATATATGAAATTCGGCCTATAAATCATACAAACAACCATAACAAATCATCAAAGAGTTAACCTCAATATCCTGATGACTGCTTTAGTCCCTGTGTTCAAAATCTCCATCCTATGTAGATGAACTACCCGCCTAGGCAATTAAGATCTCCAAATTGTAAAATTATTATTATTATTATTATTATTATTATTATTATTATTATTATTATTATTATTATTATTATTATTATTATTATTATCATCATCATCATCATCGTCGTTATTATTATTATTATTATTATTATTAATATTTAACTTATTTCGTGTCATAGGGTGTTATAACCATCTTCTGGAATGTATTGCAGTGCCAACAAATATTTAATCTATATTGAATTTTTAAGTTGCAACTGTTAAAGATCTATAATAATTTAACGTCATTATTCGATAATAATTTTTTACTATCGATTTTGCTTCAAAGAGCATATTTTCCCATGTAGCATAAAATCGATGTGCTGCCTAGTGGTCAAAAACCAACGAATTTAATCCGATTATTTTACGAAATCGTGTTTAGCGGATCGCTTAATCGCATCTGATACTGTGTAATAATGGTTATAGTAATCGATACCCGAATTTACGATCAATAACCTAACTGAAAATTAAACCAAAAATGCGCATGCGTGTACACTACAGCACAGGTAGGTCTCGTCCATTTTTGTTAATACGCCCCTTTTCCCCCCAGTTTTTAAATATTAAAAAATCTGTATCTCATTCACCGTTTCCCAGTTTTTCGTCAAACAACTTTTTTTCTGTCTTAGAAAAATCAGTTCTACAACATATCAACATTTTTTTTTCTTCCGGAGTCTGACTTTAAACATGGAGGTATAGGCCTATAGCCTATTGTTCTATGTAATGACTACTACTGACGTTATCGCGATGAAAACAAAATGTCGCAAACTTTTTCTGACGCATGCGCAAATCAAAATTTTTCCTAAAAAACGACTTAAAACTGGTGGCAGAGGGTATATTACATATAACATATTATGTTTTATCGCGTACAGCTTACATTTTCTATCTAACCGAAAAAACAAACATTTCCCACACAATTACATGTCCACCAGTACTTCTTGGGCACAATGTATACCTGCCGCGACTCACCGTTTAGGAGCCTATTTGTTTACAGACATACTCTACAGACAGGTTGTTGCCATACATCTCATACACACATTTCACATCTGTATCATCCCAATAGTTCCTCTGTGACCTTGATTCACTCAGGGATGTTTTCATCAAGACCGTGCAAGTCCATATAAATAAAGGTAGTATAAAATGTAGAAAAATGAATACAAACACAAAAAGTACCGGTAGTAATTCAATATCAAAACTGAAGGTTAAAGAAAACATTATATAAATACTTAAAAAGCATCATACTATAAAAGAGGTGTGTAAACTGTATCAAGATAAAATAAACTGTTTGAATTTGACAACACCTGGTGCATTTTTAACATGTAATATGTTCTAACATTTAATATAATATTTTAATATATAAAATTAAATGTTTTAATGTTTTAGTTTAAGTTTCCTCTGTTTACTTTGCTTTGTTTTTGTTTCCTTTCAGTAATTGTTCTAGATGCACCTTTCATTAAGAAGCGTGCCACGGATGAAAAAGTGTAGTTCCAAATAAATTATTACAAAAATTATATAAAAATAAAAAATAAACATTATATCGTTTTGAATAATAATAATAATATTAAAAAAAGCATAATAAATCATGATCATCACCATATTATTATGATTAAGATTATTATTGTTACTTTATTATTATTATTATTATTTTATTATTATTATTCATTTATCACCATTATAAATCATCATCATTGACATTGATACAGTTATATCGTTATCATGATCGTCGTCGCTATCATTATCATAATACATTACTGTAATAATAATTGTTATTATTACAGTACTGTATTATGATAATACAGTACTGTAATAATAATAATTGTTATAATTATTGTTATTGTTATTGTTATTATTATTATTATTATTATTATTATCATTATTATTATTATCATCATCATCATCATCATCAATTTAATTCAATCCTTATTGGTCCAATATATAAATCTTTGTTTATACACTGCAATGTATAAAAGGTTAGGAAATCCAATATATGCCTATATAAAATGTTAAAAACATTATTATTGTTATTATTATTATTATTATTATTATTATTATTATTATTATTATTATCATTATTTAATTTGTTTCGTGTCATAGGGTGTCATAGCCATCTTCTGGAATGTATTACAGTGCCAACAAATATTTAATCTATATTGAATATTTAATTTGCAACTGTTAAAAATCTATAATGATTTGACGTCTCATTATTTAATTTAATACTTTTTACTATCGATTTTTCTTCAACGTATTTTTACATGTGTAGTATAAAATCGATGTGTGCTGTGTAGTGGTTAAAAACCAACGAATATGATCCGAATATTTTATCAAATCGTGTCTGCTAGATCGCTTAATCGCATCCGATACTGTGTAATGTGATTATAGTAATCGATACTCGACTTTACGATCAATACCCTCATTCAAGTATAAACCAACATGCGCATGCATGCGTGTACAGCACAGGACTCGTCTATTTTGTCAATGCAGCATTATAGTTAATAGCTCATTAACAGTATTATAGATATACGGTAAAGTAAGAATATAATAATAATAATAATTATTATTATTATTATTATTATTATTATTATTATTATTATTATTATTATTTTATCATCATCATCATCATTAATTAATTAATATTATTTACCAGTATTTTGCATTTTAATTTCTGAAAAAAGTTAGCACTGATGATACTTGTAGGAAACAGGGGACACATGTTTGCAAATAAATGGTTTATGATACATGATTACTATGCAAGTAATACTTTTTTTTAATACTTAAAACAAAACGCATACAAGAGGCCTTATTACTTAGGTATTTTTAAAGAAAATTATAAATCAAATGTAAAGCAAACTGATTATTTCACTGTCATTTTTAGGCATATAATTCTGTATTTTGGCACACCAAAAGTAACGACTTTATGATAGTGGGTAATTTTTACAGTTAAGCTTTTAAGGTGGGTTACTATTATGAATAATGTATCATTTATTAGAAATACAGCAAGTTGTTAATCAGCGCACTTACTACACCCTGCGGTCATTGGCTGACGCGAATCAAACTGCCACCGACAATCAACAGACGACGTTGCATCGTCTAGAACTCACCACACAGGGTGTGGAGAGTTGGATTCGTTGTACGGTGCCAGTGCCCGGCTTTGGTTAGCAAAGTAGGCCTACACATGTTTTAAGAAACTAAATAAGAAAACTGACAAAATATTTCAAACACGAATCTTTTAATTTCTTTCATCGTAACCATTGTTCATTGTTAAGTTAGTGTATATTCACACAGTATTTCACAAGCAGGAAGTTCAACAGTGTGTCATAAATAACGGCCCAGCATTGCAACATAAGGGGAAGGGGGGAGGGAGGAAGAGAAAAAATACAGATTGTCATTAGATGAAAAAAAAACTTAATAATTATTATTTACTGTCTTGCACTTGTACGTCAACTACTGTAACTACTTACAGACATCATTGTACGACAAAGCCCGACGAGATTTACCGCCGGGGACCTATTGTCTGCGTTTAGAGCATGGCGGTTGTCTTGACAACAAAATCAATCAATTTAATAAATGAAACAGTTAATTAAGTTGTCTTGACAACAAAATCAATCAATTTAATAAATGAAACAGTTAATTAAAAGACAGTGGTGGCGCCAGGATTTGCCAGACGGGGTTCCGATGTCCCCAACGAGGAGGGTGGGGGGGGGGGGGGCGCGTTCACGATGGGAAGGTCGATCTTCCCAATGAGAAAAATCATCAAAGGGGTTCTAGGAGGTGGGGCCCGGAAACTCCGACAATGTAGGGGATTTGAGTAACACATTCTGTAAAACTACATAGATTATTTTCTCCCTGGGAAGGGTTCCTGCACTTCTGCCGGTGCCACCGCTCAAAATAGATATAGACTCTGAAATGGTAACTTAAATTATTTAAAAACAATTACATTAGTCCCAACCAATGGATGACCACTACTGTTCATGCTTAGATGATAATAGAAGTATAAGGGAGTTTTCGCAAGATTACGAAAATGATAACGAATACGGAGATGTCATTAAATTTTAAGACAACTCTTCCCTTACAGTAGCGTATCTGTTACAACGTAGGCCATCCATCCATTTTACATGAATCAACGATCATACTTAGCTCATGTATTTTCAAGACTGCTTTGATGATAAATGATGATGTCGCATCATTCGTATTATCGTTTTCGTAAGGTTGTGAA